AAATTCTTTATTTATAAATAATTAATACTCAAATTGCTTGAAAGATGATATGTTCCCTACTAATGACAACGAAGTTTTTTGTTTTATTCAGTGATTTAGTTATATTCATATTATGCTATGCACCCATGCTATTCATATTATTCTGATTTAAGAAACATACACCGCAGTTCAATTTTAATTTACAAATCTCACACTGTCAGAGATGCCAACTTGCTCCGGACAGCAAATAAATATTTTAAAGTGGTAGTTTATCAATCGTGATTCTTGGTTTAATAAATTCAAATTAGAAGATTTTTATCCACCACTATTTCTAAATAATTCATAGTCTTATATAATTCACCACATTATGGTAGTTATGTCATGCTATGCTTTTTAAAAAGCAAGCAAAAATATTCAAATATTTGCAAAAGTTAGTTTGTAGTTTTTGGCGTGTCCGGAGCAGTTGGCATCCATGCATTGTGATACATAGTTTACTCAATCTTCGAGACTTACGTCACCTTTCTTGTAAGTTTGATTTTCATATAGTATATATGTAAATTAGATTTGTATAAATGCAATGTCAAAATTATGCTTAGTGAAAATTACGCATATTCACAAAATTATAAAAAATCGCGCTTCATATTTGATGAATATAATTTAAAGAAAATAAAGCTTGGTCTTAGTCATCTGTAAAATATTGTTCTCCAATGGAAAAATTGAAACAGATATGTTAAATGGATATGTATTTTGTTGAATTATATACATGTCTTGAAACCTGAAATTTGAACTGACGTATCATAAAATAATATTTATAGTATAATAACCGTACAATCACACAAACTTTATCAATTATTTACTATGCTTATTTAATGCAATATGCATTATTCATAAATTCAGTTTCATTAATTCTTATTAACTATTTTTATATAGACGAGAGGGGGGCACTTTTCAACAGTTTTTGCTAAAGAATTATTTTCGAAGTTTTATTGCCTTCAAAATCTAAGTTCTAATTTTTATTTACTAAATTGATATTTGATGTAACCTCTTAATTTTGATATTTGATGTCTAAGCCAAAGTAACCTAATTTTACATATTTAGTGACCCATGTATTTTGTTGCAATCTACCCCTCTTGGGGGGCAGTTTCCAATGGTGTTGGGGCACATTTCAACAATCGAAGAGAACGTAACCAAGGCTAAAGAGAATAGAAGGACTGGTTCACTCCTTTGAAGAAACTCTCGCAGCACCAAATCTCTGATTTTCTCCAGAGACGTCACTGTGGCGCGAAGCTAGCACTTTTACTTCAAGAACGGAGCGTTCAGTTTAACTAGCTCTAACCAATATTGGAGCATTCCTTTTTGTGACATATTCCAAGACATTTACTGTTTTATAAAATTATTTTCCTCAGTTCAGTGCAGTAAGTCACAAAAATGCAAAACTATTAATGAAATGCCAGTTTGCGCGATTGCAACTTGCAAAAATTCTGATAGAAACACGAAAGGAAAAGTATAATTTTCCACATGTTTCCTAAAGTAAATGAACAGCTACGTAAAGAATGGATTTCGAAATAACACAGAAGCAGAATTAAATAAACTAGCAAATGAATAAATATCCTTTACCTTACTAAAAGATTAGTGGTAGATAAACACTTTTAAAATCAAAACAACACAACAACAAATCAAAACAACAATCAACACAACAGTGGTAAAAAAAAGTGCTTAAAACTAAATGTCAAGAGTTATGCGTAATGAAAGCGTATTGTCTGGCATCTGGCAATACATTTTAATGTGTATAAGAGAACTAATAAGTAATAAATAATTATCAACGAACTAGTTTGTGTCGTTAATTATGCACCTACAAAATCAATAAGTACCCAAAAAGGTTATAAATCAATACAGTAAATGAATAAAAAACTTATTTCTTTATTATATTCATTGGAATACGATCAAAAAAACAGACAAAGGTGCTGTAGCTATACTCAATACATTAAGAGTATTGTGGGGGTTATTATTTCATGTCTACTGCATAAAAGACAGGATTGGACTTCGTGTTCGGGTCTGAACCTGTAGTATAAACATTGAAACAGTCCAATACTTTATTAGGTAACAAAAATACAATACATAGATTTTTACTTACCAGATATAACGTAACTGTCACAAGTAGCAATTACTAACGCAATAATTTTAAAAAAACACACAAGGAAGTTTTAAAAAACACTACAAAAGGAGTGTTGCCACCAGAAAGTAATGTAGGTGTTGCCAGTAGAAATAGAAATTGCAGCTGAACCATAGCTAACATAACAGAAATAAGCAGATTTCGACTTTGAAATAGCAGAAATAAGCAGATTTCAACTCTCGTGAACTTAAAACTGAAAATAATAAACAATTTCAAATAACATTGAAATTTGCTTTAAAATGAAACTTAAACTAAAAAAAAATTAATCAGAAAAAGCTTTTCACCCAATCGTCCAACTTAAAAATAAACAAGCTAAAAATTTAAGGCATAATTAGTAATAAATATTAATAATTATTATTAGCTCCATATTATAATTAGCTCCTTGCGCTAAAATTTTTCATAGTAAAATAAAAAATTATTTGTTTACCTCAACTCGCTTTAAATTTGTCTTCAAACTAGCTTACAGCTAGTTATAAATGCTCAAATACAAAANAATTAAAGAGGGAACATAGAGCACGCTACAAACGGATATCCGGTAGGCAGTATCTATCCGGCTAGTAGCCCGGATATTATGATTATTCGGCAGTAACATTTGGCTCGAAATAAAATATTGAGTAGAAAGGTAAAAATGAAATATATATTCGCGATCGCAACACTCGAATACGCCATCTGGGGAGAGACCGGTTTCATGCCTTTAGTCCTTCTCCCTTCCCTCTCCTCCTCTGTTCAGTTGTATAGGAATGTACTACGATATTTTCCCTTTTCTTAATATTTTTCCTTTTTATTTAATAAGAATATTTTTTAAAATTTCCATAATACTTTTCTTTAGAACTATGTTTAATGTAGTTTTCAGTTCCATATAGTTTTTCAAGTTAAAAGATTTCAATCTATATGAAAATCAAGAGAGAAACTAACGTACTTCCTTCCTCTATGACTTTCCATACGCTAATGGGGAAAGTATGTGAAGTGTTGCCATAGGAAAAGAGTTCTGCTCTACGCCACCTGCAGCCCATTTCGATCGCCAATAATTCATCACAATGATGGTAGAAAAGGTAATTTTAACATAAAAATCAATATTCTTTTCAAATATTTTTTTTTTCATACTTATACTGTTTATAAAATAAAGAAATCATACTTAAAATATGTATTAAGTTTTAGTCTATATCTTGGTCACGCTTACAACAGATATGTTGTTGTTGTTAATTTACGTCACACTAGAGCTGCACAATGGGCTATTGGCGACGGTCTGGGGAACATCCCGGAGGATGATCCGAAGACATGCCATCACAATTTTGATCCTCTGCGGAGGGGACGGCACCCCGCTTCGGTAGCCCGACGACCTGCGCGCGAAGTCGAGCACTTTACGGTAGCACAGTTTAACGACGACCAATACCGCACACCCTCGGTCTCTACGCAGACTGATCCAAGTGGTCACCCACCCGCACACTGACCGCAGCCAGTGATGCTTGACTTCGGTGATCTGCTGGGAACCGTGTCTTAACGATCAGTCCACTGCGGGACACAACAGATATGTTATACTAACAATTGATATAAATATTCTGTTAGTATTTTGAAAGTTATGCAATATAACATAGTATGTAGTATATAAAAATATGGTATACAATTACAATAGAATATATTTACTATACGGATATACATATTTATTATATTATAATTATATAATAGCCAACCTCTCTGATTTTTAAAATAAAATGAAATTGGCAATATTATCAAATAAAAACTTTTAAATATTAACTAATAAATAACTAATTTGATTTAATTTTTTTTTCTAGTTTCACTTGATTTAAAAAATTGAGAAAAGATCTGAAAGGTTGGCAAATATATTAAAGACAAGTATTAGAATAAAGTAATAATCGATCTGAGGAATTGTTTTATAAATACCAACAAAATACGAGATCATATGTGATATTATTTCATTTTTATTACCCCATTTAAGGCCAAGGATAGAAATTTTGTAAAATGCAATATTATTTTCATTGAAATATGTTTAAATTACATTCATTAAGACAAAAAATAAGTTTCGTGCATGAAAAATAATATTTTATTTAAGAAATAAAATGGTGCATTTACGCACCATTGGCCGAATCAATGAATAATTTGTTTAGTTCAACGCTTATATTTTTAATGGAAACATTCAAAGCATTTTAAATGCAAATGGACTTTGCATTTGATGAATAAATTAATCTTGTGATTTTTTGCACACTTTACATCATCTGTTGACTTTTTTTTCCAGGCCCATTTATTTTAAGTCCGATTCTATCAGTCCGTACTTCTATTAGTTGAGCTACGGATGATGGGCAACCTTTGTTTGAATGTGTAACTTGTAATGAAACTTCACCAGATGGATTGTTCTTGGATTCAGATTTTAATTGAGCAATAGCTATATAAGATCTATAGTCTTATAAGTGACATTTTTGAGCTAGTTAAAATTCTATGCAGCTTCCAGAAATTCACTATACCGCTATCAATGATGTTTGTAAATAGTGGCCACCACCTTTTCTTACCTGGAATTGATGCGGTATTTAGCTATAGCATTCTCATGCAGGTCTACACCTGCTTATTGTTATCCAAAACAATGTTGAGTTGTGAAATCACAACTTCTTCTCTTGAGCCGCGATGGCTCAAGAGATAGAGCATTCGCCTTCAAATGAGGCGAACCCGGTTCGAATATCGGTGATGGCTGGTTGATACGAATAATCATCCGGCTGGCACTGACCACAGTGCTGACGAAATATCTTCACAGGTAGATGGATCATGGTCCCTTTGCAGTCAGGCTAACCGTGGGAGGTTCTCTTGGTTTTCCTCTCTATGTAACGCAAATGCGGGTTAGTTCCATCAAAAAGTCCTCCACGAAGGCAAATTTCTCCCAATACTTGATCCAGGAATTCCCTTGTCTTCTGGGTTGGGTTCAAAATTACAAGTCTACGGAGTTGAACATTAGTAGTCGTAAGCCAAGTCATAAGATTTGGAGCAACAAGTGGTATTAAAAAACTTGACATCTTTCAGGCGAGCACCTCTGGCATGTTCTAGTAGTTTACTAGGGTCCACGATGGCAAAATAGTTGATTTCCTCCTCCCCATACAGTTCATTTATCCTCCTGCTGTTTTCCACCAGTACTATTGAATCCGGGAACTTAAAAATAAAATAATAAATACATACATATAAAATATACATTGATAACACATTTTCATTAAATATTATACACACCGAGGTTTCAGTATTATCAACAGGTAGTTGTGTCCAGTAGGTAGAACTTGGTTCTTCTAGCGAATCTTCATCAGCACCTACCCCAATTTGATTAGCCGGAATAGAATTTCCCATAAATACTTGGGCGGTCTCACTGAAATCCAAGGGACAGTGTGTAAATATACTAGGTGAATCCTAGAAAAAACGATAAGCATAATGATATAATATATATTCAACCGCTTTTGATATTTACCTGAAATTCATCCATTAAGCTATAAGCTGATGGCGAAAGGGGGTTCTCCAAAAATGTTCACCAACGGATTCTCACTAAAAATGTCAGACTAACCTAAAATAAAAAATAACCTAACCTAAACCCCTAACCTAAAATAAAAAAATAAATAGTAATATTAATAAGCATACTTTAAGAAAAAATGTTTTCTCTCCTTGACAAGAATAAAGAAATTAATTTGACAGATGACTATATATGATACGATAACACAGATTAATTTTAAGGGAATAGAAAATAACTGGTAAATAAAAAACATTCATCAGCTAGTTAGTTTTAAGTATAATTACCACGTGCAAACATACATCTATATATAATTAATTCCGTAATAATAATAATTTACGTTTAATAAACACAACACGTGGTAAGAAAAACAAATTCAGCTAGTTAGTTTTAAATATAATTACCACGTGCAAACATACATCTATATATAATTAATTCAATAATAATAATAATTTACGTTTAATAAACACAATACGTGGTAAGAAAAACAAATTCATCAGCTAGTTAGTTTTAAATATAATTACCACGTGCAAACATACATCTATATGAAATTAATTCCATAATAATAATTTTATTTTAATAAACACAACACGTGGTAAGAAAAACAAATTCAGCTAGTTAGTTTTAAATATAATTACCACGTGCAAACATACATCTATATATAATTAATTACATAATAATAATAATTTACGTTTAATAAACACAACACGTGGTAGGAAAAACAAATTCATCAGCTAGTTAGTTTTAAATATAATTACCACGTGCAAACGTACATCTATATAAAATTAATTCCATAATAATAATTATTTTAGTTTAATAAACACAACACGTGGTAAGAAAAACAAATTCAGCTAGTTAGTTTTAAATATAATTACCACTTGCAAACATACATCTATATATAATTAATTCCATAATAATAATAATTTACGTTTAATAAACACAACACGTGGTAAGAAAAACAAATTCATCAGCTAGTTAGTTTTAAATATAATTAACACGTGCAAACATACATCTATATAAAATTAATTCTATAATAATAATTTAATTTTAATAAACACAACATGCGGTAAGAAAAACAAATTCATCAGCTAGTTAGTTTTAAATATAATTACTACAATAGTGAAATAACAGATAAGATAAAGTAGGGGTGTAACATCAGACCTATTCTTAGTAATAATGAAAATAAAGTTAGAATTCAATATCACTGAAACTTTTTATGCCAAAGTGAAAGAATAGGCCTGAATAAGGTCCTCTTAGTTAGTTCCCATTTATGAAATGAATTTCTATACAAATGCATCATTTCATTAATGGGAGTTTTAAACCCCCCCACCACGATAAGGTGGGACCTTTTTGGAGGGGCCCCCCACCTGAAATACATTGATATTAATCCACAATAAATTACAGAAAAAAACATGCTTTATAAACAAATCAAATATTAATGGATGCTAAAAAAATTTTTAAAAATTAGTTGCAGA